AGAGCCATTTTAACCTTTTCAATTTAAACATTTAAAATTTTCATACCATCACCCACAATTAAATGGTAAATATGACAAATACATCTAACATGAAAAATGTTACTAAATGCAGGATTTAGTGTAGTGGTAAGCAAGGCTACATCATTAGTGTTATTAGTAGCATTATCCATTGAAATTGACATTATTTTATCACTAATGCAAAAATATCTACAAATATCCGTAACCGTGCTAGAAATAAATTGCCCTGTGTGACGTGAATTAATTATTCTATATGCAATAATGCGCTTTTGCATTATCCACTCCTCATCAATCCACTGACTTGTAACAGTAAGATAATCGCAGTCATTACCACTTCTACCAATATCAGTAGTAATAGCAACACGAAAATTAATATGAGTAAATAAATAGCGCAAATATTGTTCATATTCATGTTTATATTTATAAATATCGTTCTTTACGGTTGTGCGAGGCCATCCTTTATAAGTAGAATTAAAAACTCTTCTAATATAATGCACAAAGTGGGGGTTAGACGGAAAACTATAGGGTAAGCACATAACAGTAACCATTTTTGCCAATTCTTCCCTATCTTTTCTTGGGTCATAATATAAAATACCACCGATAATAGTATTAATTCCCGGTTGAAATTGATTTGACCCGGTACTAGGGTCAGGCTGACTAGTTGGACTTGCCCCCCCTCCCGGCCGCAACTTTCATTTGAAAAAATTTAGCTTTATCTTGAGGGTGTATCATTATGTGTCTCCTCAAACTCCCTCCCCCCCCCCCCAACATAGTTAAAGGCTAACTCTTTGCCACAAGTTTTACAGTTAGCTTTATTTTTCTCTTATTTGAATAAAAAATAGCCAAACAAGAGATGTTTCGGCCCGTTTAGAAGGTTGTCTAGGAAAAGTAGGGGTAGTAACAGGGGGGTCAACCGAGGCATCATTTGGATTAGTTGGGTTAACTTGAGTAACAGGACTAGTGGGTGTATCATCATCCGATTGCGTTTCATCTAAATATATTTCCTGCGCATCTTCTTCATCTATAGTTGGATTACCANCCGTACGGGTACGTACGGACGTCGACTACGTTGGTACCGTGCCCGTACCCCCCCCCTAACCCCCCCCCCCCCCCGGGCCGCAGCTTTCATTTGAAAAAATTTAGCTTTATCTTGAGGGTGTATCATTATGTTTCTCCTCAAACTTCTCGTCCCCCCCCCCCCAATATAGTTAAAGGCTAACTCTTTGCCACAAGTTTTACACTTAGCTTTATTTTTTTCTCTTATTTGAATAAAAAATGGCCAAACAAGAGATGTATCAGCCCGTTTAGAAGGTTGTCTAGAAAAAGTAGGGGTAGTAACAGGGGGATCAACTAGGGCATCATTTGGATTAGTTGGGTTAACTTGAGTAACAGGACTAGTGGGTGTATCATCATCCGGTTGCGTTTCATCTAAATCTATTTCCTGCTCATCTTCTTCATCTATAGTTGGATTACCATAAAGGTTGTTCATATATTCATCATCTAAGCGTTCACCACAACCAACATTATGCACATATTGACTCTCCGTAAATTATAATAAAGTATTATCACTATCAAGAATAGGAGCAGGTGGAGGGCGGGTATGGGGTTTGGGTAGGGGAGGCCGGGGAATTAGAGGAGGAATGGATTGACCACTAGATTCACCACTCTTGGATTTTCCCTTATTTTTACTAAACATTTTTTTAAGGAATATGTCATCTTAATTATAATTATACAAAGTAATTAAATAAAACAAACAAAAATATAATTGGAACGAGTTTACCGAATTGACGAATAACTTGTTGAAATTAATTATCGTTGAAGACTTGAATACTTCAATTCACCAACTTCACAATTTTTCACACAAGTTGCAACAACAAAGTAACCAATTTTAGAAGAAAATTAGAGAGAGATTGATGATTTGCTGAAGAAAAATGAAAGAATGAGGGGGTATTTATAGTTGAAAATAGGGAAAAGGTGTAATTATAAAAAGTTTGGGGTTAAAACAAAGTTGGGGGATTAAATGGCTATTTTCTAAATAGCCGACGCTATTTTGGCAGCCATAACGGCTATTTTTTAAAGCCCCAACGGTCAGATTTTGATTTGAGAAACTTTTTTTTTTAAAATTAGCCGTTGGGCCCGTTTAGGACCGGTTGAACCGGCCCACTTAGGAGCCGATCCCGGGCCCAAACGGTCACGGGCTTAACGGGCATTTTAAGAGAACCGGCCCACTTGGGTCTCAAACCCTCATGGTCCCGGGCTTAAACGGGTAGGCCCGTTTAGGCCCACTATCCATATGGGCTCGCGACCATGGGCCGGGCCCGGGCCTAACCGCCCACATGCCACCCTTATCAATGGGTAACGTGACTGCCGAGAATCATGGACTTTCCATGAAGTCCAATTCCAAACATTGGAATTTTCCTATTGTAAACAAGAAGACACGTTTGAGTTGTCAGACGTCCTTTTTATGGACTTTTAATTTCCATGTTTAATGAAATCGTAGGAAATCCTTTATGGAATTTCATGTCCAATTCAAAATTGGATTGTAAGAATAAATTAATATTAAATATATAACCTTTATATAAAAATAATAATTACGAGTACCAAAAACTAAGAGATATAATTTGATTTTCTATTCCAAATAGAAAACTTCAATTTGTTCACAATTTAATTATATCCTCTATGCTAGCAAAGAACATAATAATATTTTATTTGAACTAATAACTAAATTATTTGACTAATTAAATTCTTTAATTTAATTAACAAATAATAAAGTAACTAATCCTTTAGCAACAGAACACTCGTTAGTGTGCGACCCCATAGGTTCAACACTAAGCCGGTAGTAAATTGATCACATCAATATACTAACAAAGGGTAGCATCTAGCAACACTCCTTAACGACTGGATAACATGAAGTATACAATCTACTCTCAAGAACCCGTAGAAGAATAATGTAGTAATTCCTTCTGTCCTCTGTCCTTATAGCTCTGGGTAAACCTAGGATATGGTTCAACTGTCAAATCCTAATAGACGACCAACTATGTGTTCATGTCAAATATAATTTACCATTGAATGACCTAAGAAACTCATTTCTTCTTTCGTTCAATCGCCCTGGCCAAGGTCTTAGTTTGGTCGTTTATAATTCATGATAACATGGAGCTTAAACTCATTACCAAGAGTTGACAGATTCCATCTTGATCAATCACTAATTCTACAAGTATTTAATCGTACCTAATATCCTTTCAACTATCGCTCTAGGACCATAGGTATCTGGTATTAAAGTACAATAAATAACTTGTCATGACGATCTCAGGTCAAAGGAAACTCTTACATCACATTCTTTAAGAGAATATCCTATTGACAATTTATGGTAATGCTAACCATTTGGAATTATCCAATGAGTCGGTTCAATGATCATATCTCTATATGCATCATCTATTTATGTGCTTTAGTTAATGAGATCAACTAATCTTTATCCGATAAAGACGATCACATAAATATTGATCTAACCGGATTACTAATGTCCAAATTAATAATCCTATGATCAAGAACAAATTTAGATTAAATTACAAGAAACTTCACTCTCATTATCATGATCTTCATCACAATGTCAAGTCTCAAAATTTAATCAAGGACCTTATCAAGTTAATCAAATAATTAATAATAACTATGATAAAAAAATATCAGATGTCATATATTTTTATATCAAATAACGTTCACAAATATATGTTCAAATCATCAAATCTGAGTTTGGATCTAGGACATATCTACTATATCCCTAACACATAGTTGTTTAAGTTTGATTTGTTCTGAGCATGTAGGCTGGTGTTGATGGTTCAACAGCTGAAGTTTAGGTAATTTGACAATGATTTAGGGTGCTAGTAGCTTGCTTTTCACTACTAAAGTGATTGAAAGGACCCTTTCACCCCATGCTTCCGCCACAGTAGGTTTCAGGCTGTCTTTTCACCTTTTGGACGGTACTTGAGCAGTGTATTGGCACACAAAGTCAGTTCTGGACAGATTTTTGGTGAATCAAAATCTGTCCAAAAAGTTGCTTTCTTTGCCCTCGTCCCACATTTCAACACTCTTTGCATACATCTGTTACACACTAAAAGACACAAAAACTTAAGAGAAATTAGCTGAACTTCAAGAAATAGTAGGCAGAAACTTGAGAGCTTTGAGTTTATTTTATGAGAAACCAAAATACTTTAAAGAATAAAGGTCTTTGAAGTTAGTTTTTGGGTTTCTCTGTCTCTGAAAGTTATCTGAGCTTTCGAGGTCTATTCCGGGTTGTCTCTTTGGTTCTTGTTCACTGTTGTTGCTGCTGGTTATTAGTTGCTGATTTTCAAGTGCTTTTGCCAAGTTTTCTGTTTCATATCTGGGTGTTTTCATTGCTGGTTTAGCTGCTGTATTTTTATAATTCTACGACCCAGGTAACTCTTTAACTTTGTTTTACAGATACTTTCACAAGTAATAAAGATTTGAACTTGGTTTGGACTGCTAGAGCATGATTATGTTCGATTTTTCCTAAGAATAAATGTTATGATTGTGATTAAGCATGTAAATGTGTTAGGAGTTTAGTTAAAACATCAATTTTAAGTCTTCTGCTTTATGTTCAGCTTGTGCTGTTAGCAAGAGTCACAAAATTCCTTTTGTTGAGTCTAGTTTTAAGGCCAATGGCCCTTTAGATTTGATTTGTTCTGACGTTTGGAGTCTGGCCCCTGTTACTTCTAATGATGGATATCGCTATTATGTTATATTCTTTGATCATTTTAGCAAATATACCTGGATTTATTTTCTCCAATTTAAATCTGAAGTATTATCCGTCTTTATCCAATTTCGGACAATTGTTGAAAAATACTTTGGTCGCCCTATCAAATCCTTTCAAGCAGATTTGGGGGTGGTGGGGGGCGAATTTCAAGCCTTAACTACTTATTTACGAGAGAATGTTATTACACAACGCTCTTCATGTTATTTGTGCGAGAATGGTATTACACAATGCTCTTCATGTCCCTACACGCCAGAGCAGAATGGTTGTGCTGATCGTAAACATCGTCATATTGTTGAGACAAGACGTGCATTGTTAACACGTGCTAATGTTCCAGAAAAATTTTGGACTAATGCTTTTGAAACTGCTGTTCACACTATCAATAGACTTCCAACTCCCCGTCTGAATCACAAATCTCCATTTAAAGTTTTGTTTAACATGAATCCTGACTATTCTTTTTTGCGCATTTTTGGATGCTTATGCTTTCCTTGGCTTCGTCTATACAAAGAGTAAGCTTTCACCTCGTTCAGCATACACTTTCTTTTAATGATTTTGGATGAAGCTTAAACATCCACAAATGGAAAGTAATCTCTCTGGAAAGAAAAAATAAAACTCCAATGTGTTGATGAATCAATAAAATAACAGTTCCTTTATTATAATATTTATAAAAATAAGGTTTCAGCTTGATCATAACAAGTACTAGGAGCAACTTGCATTTTCCCTATTTGTATCCTAATCCAGGAAAATATTTTTTTTCCTATGGTTGAAGATGTTTGATTCTCCATTAAAAAAAAAAGGAACACATATTGCATTGGAAAAGAAATAACCTTGGGGAAGGAGGTTGAATTATAAAGTACCATGCATTAAAAAATAAAAATATTAACTTGAACAGACTCTTCGACTTCGGGAGTCTATGAATGATTGAGAAATTAGACTTGATGATGTTTCAAATGAAGAAAATCTTGATCCCTAGGTGAAATATTATGTAGTCTAATGGTGCATTTAGAAATTAGGCAACTAACAGGTCTCTATTATATTATCTAAAATCTATAGGAAAGACCCTTTGATGGCGTTCATAAAATTCATCTTACTGAATTATTCATAAAGGTTATAGATAGTGTAGTGATTTCATGAATGGCATTGGCAACCGTAGACCTGAAATCAATTTACAGTTACTTTTTGGAATAGCATTTGCATTTTGGTATTGAGACTTGAGAGGGCATTGGGCAGCGAAGAGGTTTTTACGTTGTGCTAAACAAAGTGAGGAAGTGCTTGATTATAGTATAGCCTGGTTAGGTAAGTGTGCATTTTCCCCAGATTATAGTATAAAACGGAAGAAAAACATGATCTTTGCGATAATGTAGAAGACCATTTTCCCGAATACCTTTAAGGTTTGAACTTTAATAGCTACAATAAAAATTCTTTGCATAAGAGTGAGACGATGTTGTGTTGAAATGCTTGATTTTAGTTAGTGCTGCCATTTGTATTTCTTTACTTGATCACGAAGAAGGAATTCTTGGTCTTAGTTCTGTTAGCGACTTGCAGTTAACAATCGATCATGTGACAATCCTTTACGCATGGCATATGCTAATCTCTCTCTCTCATTCTCATCTTGAGTTTCAGGAAGATGCTCTAATTTACTACTTACAACTTTCAAGTTCTAGAAGCTTTTGGGAAGTTTATCCTTATTAAAAAAAAGGGAAGTTTATGGTTTTAGTCATAGTTGGGTCGTTTAGGTTTTACCGTCACAGAATTTGTAAGCCTCAGCAATAATGGCAATGCAAAGTTGTAATTGACACAGACTGACTGGGAGGGCGGCTTCTATCCAATAACGATGCACTTCAGTGAAGACTATCCTAGCAAACCACCCAAGTGCAGGTTCCCTCAAAGTTTCATTCATCCTAATGTCTATCCATCAGGAACAGTATGCCTGTCTATCCTCAGTGAGGACAGTGTAAGTTCTTGTCGTTGCTGTTTGTTCTTGTCATTGCTGTTGTGTTACTTTGTCAGTCCTGTATGGTATAACAGCTTCCATTTGATTCTTGTGTTGGCTATAACCTTCTTTAGGGGTGGAGGCCTACCATTACAGTTAAACAAATTTTGGTGGGTATCCAAGAGTTGCTTGACCAGCCAAATCCTAATGATTCAGCACAAACTGTTGGATACATTCAGGTAGTTTACTCAAGCTGGACGTGTATTTCATGGACCTTTTTTTAGGAAAAAATTAAATTAAGTTGACATGTTGATTATTGAAACCTTTTACAGCTTTCAATTCTGCAATGTGTACGTAGATGCCTAGATAACAATTTAATTTTAACAGTGTTCAAAATCCCCAAAAAAACTGTTTGAGATACTGTTGGATTGTAGAAGGGATTCCAAATGGCTATTAAATGCCAAAATATTTTAGTGAAATTATTAAGAAGAAAATTAACTGTCGGTTTTCCTTCGGAGAACATGGTGCATTTGAACTGCGATATTTGAGTAGATCGTATAAATCCCTGTTTAGCTTACCGTTACAATATGTGACCTTGCTTTTGCAAGATATTGCTGAGTACAAGAGACGAGTGAGACAGGAGGCCAAGCAGTATCCAGCTCTTATCTGACATTAGTTTGTTCTGAACTACTCCCTCCGTTTCATATTAAACGAAGTACTTTCCTTTCTAGTCTGTTCCAAAACAAATGACACATTTCTAAATTTGGAAATAATTCAACTTTAAACTCTTTCATTTTACCCATTTATCCTTAATGAGAAGTTTTTATAGCCACACAAAATGTCATGGCCCCACAAACTTTTTACCCCTTAAGCTTTTAAGACCACAAGTTTCAAAAGTCTTCTTCTTTTTTCTTAAACTCCGTGACGAGTCAAACTACCTCATATAATATGAAACGAAGGGAGTATATAATTATGTGACATTGCTAGTCCTTATTGACATAGTGGCCGTGTGGCTTAAATGGTGCTTTTCTTCTTTTTGATTCAACAGTGAATATAGCTTGCAACATGCATGCTGTCTGTTATTTTGACAGCGTGGTTGACCTATTATTTCTGGTTTTACTTGCAATTCCTTCGACAAAGGCTCTGTTTTTCTGTTCTGACTATCTGTCAGTTGCTGATTGTGTGAAAGCAAAAAGCAATCTATTGGTCGCTATTTGTTTATAGAAGGACCAACGGCCAAATTAAAGATGATAAGCTTCTCTCTCAGGTAACTGAGTTTTCTTCATGTCTTATCACGTATCCTGCAGTCTCAAAAATGGGAAAAAAACAGTGATCTTGAAAGGGTAAAGGTTTAGAGTGAACCACTATTTAAATGCAACTCACTTTTGTCAATAGCTATATTCGAGACATGAGGAAGTATTGCGTAGTTTTTGTCATCTATGATATATTGCTTGAAATATAACATGCTATTTCGTTTTCCTTTTATTATGTCCTGTGATACAAGCAAGGTCAGCATCGTTGATGCACGTTTTGGAAAAATTAAGGAGAGGTTAGGACATAAAATTTTAGATTACTCACCCAATAGCATGACACTTGAGCTCCTGTATTAGTGCTGTTAGAGGATTACACTGGGTATGTTGTTATTGTTGTGTTGTAGTGTGTTATGTTTTTTTTTTTCACACTTAGCACTTCTTTATCTCTCCGTATGTTTATGTGTGTTTCTGAGATTACACTAGTGTACTTGCCCGCGAAAAATGCTCTTACAAAAATAAAAACAATATAAAGATCTAATAGAAGAAAAATGAAAAACTCAATGTCGTAAATGGTAGTAACACTCCCCTTTTTTCCCAATCAAAAGTGTTTTTTTTTTTTTTGTGGTGGAATAATTGTTTGACTGTTGGAGCTTTAAAATGTAATCTTTTGTCTCCCCGTTCTCTCTCAGTTGGCGATGCTATTTTAATTACATCAAAGGTAAAATACCGTATGTGGAAGAAATAGTGAGTATTCGACCAGTCCGTGCCAAGAAAAAAACTTACTGTCCAAATGTTAATGTGCGGTGGTACTACCGCCCCACAGACATGCCAAATGGCTCTGCAGACTCGCAAGGGGTTGATGAGTTGTTCTTTAGCATTGGAGGCAATATTATGTCTTCAGAAATAGGGGTGGGCATCGGTGGGTTCGGTTCGGTTTTGAATATTATCGGTTTTGCCTATCAGTTATCGGTTTACAAATATCATAGTCCGATAACCAAACCGATAAGATATTGGTTATCGGTTATCGGTTAATCGGTTATTGATCATTATCGGTTCGGTTATCGGTTTACCCGATAAAGTAAAACTAAAACTAAGAGTGCTGATTGCTGAACGCTGAATATTACCTAAACTTAATTAAGTCAAGTAATATTTGTACAAAGTTTACTGGAAGCTGCTAATATTTGTACAAGTAATATTTGTACAAAGTTTACTGGAAGCTGCTATATATTACCATTTTCAGTATAAAACTAAATGCTAAACTACAGCTGAGTAACAATTTTAAAGGTTCCAAAATGAGATTTAAACTTCTATTCAGTACCAAGATCTTGTGGCAGAAGCCGCAGAACTACAAGCATTTGAAGAATTTGAACTTCAGTTTAAACTGCACATAAACTGCACACAAAGCTGCACATAAAACCAATAATTCTCACAATAATTTCAGTTTAAACTTCTCACTGAATAATTTCAGCACACAAATCTGCACATTTTTTGCCTCAAACTAAACATACCCAGTACCTCAATTGCACACAAAGCTGCACATTTTTTGCCTCAAACTAAACATAACCAGTACCTCAATTGAACACAAAGCTGCACAAAACAGCTCAAAATTCCAATCTAACAAAAATAGGAGATAAAAAGATCCCAACTTTCACAATCCAAAACAGATGGTACACACAGTAATGTCCAAACTCCAAAGTAATAGTGCAAACATATTAATAACAATACAAAGTAGTAGCAACCTTAAGATTAACAAGTCCAAAGTCCAAACATAATACTAATAGTTCAAATTTACACCGGACCTCCAAAACCAATTCCGATCACGCTCCTAAATCACAAATCACCTAACGAAGCTAACCAAATCATAAAAAGTAAACAACACAACAACTACTCAATCCTTATAGGCTTCACCAAATTGCGCTCCAAACAACGCTCAACATGCCTCATTAAGGACTTAGTACCAGTTTCTCGTGCATTATAACATAAAACAAGATGACAATGACTACATCTTACTTTCCACCATCCATCATCACCTTCTTCAATCCTTTCATAATGACTCCAAACATGTGAGATAGCTTTGAGACCACAAAGTCGAGGCATGGTTACACCTTAAACATAAAAAGAAAATATATTAAGTCAAGTAATATTTGTAATCATACTATGTGTTATATAAGTTGAATAATTAACTTACCAAAGTTTTAACTTACAACTATCTAACATTCTACACATCATCATCGCAGGGGTTCGTTTCCAAGATTGACAAAATCTATGAGAATATATATTAACAAGTCAAACAACAAAAATATTAAATAAACTATTTATAAAAATAATATACAATCAAACAAATTAAAATAATTTGGTCAAAATGTTCTCATGCAACAGACCTCTTTTTCCTTTATCTCTTTACTTTCGATTAACTGATTGAGATTGTGATATCGCATTTGAATTAGAAGCTCCACTTTTACCAATCACCTTATCAATCATGATATTTTCAGCCATGCTTTTGTGTCATTGTGAGTTTGATTTAAAAGAAATCAAGCAGCGAGGCAACAAAATCTTAAAATGAAACACATATAACAACAGATTTAGCTTAAAATCTTAAAATAAAACACATATAACTACACATAAAAAAGGAAAATATGATAAAAGAAAATATTTATGTGGAAGCTATGAACTTTGGTCATTGGCATAGGAATAAGGAAATGCTAATTTGAGGCTTAGCATTCCTAGTTTCAGTAACTGGACCCTAATGTTGAATCCAGAAACCAAATATTTATCCCTTTCGAACAGGATTTGTGAGTCTTCAAAATATGTCTTCAAGGAACCAAACAATCAGTGTAGTATAAATTAAAAACTAGCTCAAACGTCTCCTAATCAGCCAAAATACTTTTGTGTCACTGTGGGTTAGTTCTGTCACATTTTAGGAAACCATTTNAGAATTAGGACAAAAGTTGATAATTCTTTATGCATTTTCCATTCACTATCAATCCAATGAACAGTAATACACATATAATTTATTCGTTGTAAGGAAGTCCAAGTATCAGTGGTAAGGCAAACTCTCTGATCTTTAAAAAGCTTCACCAACTTACGTTTTTCATCATTGAAAAGATCAAAACAGTCCCGAGTCACAGTTCTACGTGAAGGAATTCGAAAAAAAGGTTGTGCAACTTTCATAAAATTCATAAAACCTTCCTTTTCAACAAAGCTGAAAGGAAGTTCATCAACGATCACCATACAACACAAAGCCTTCCTACATTGTTCTTGATCAAATTTCCAAGGAACAACAGCTACATCACCCTTATTACCCCCCGGAATAGGTTTAAAGCCTATTTTTGATTGACTTTTTACAACATTTAAAGGCATTTTTGTACAATTGGTCATATGTGTAAGGAGTGATTTCGTACCATTATCTTTTGAATTGGCAAAATATTCTCTTTTGCAATGTTTACAAACACCCTTTTGATTTCCTTCCGGATCAATAATTTGGTCAAAATGTTCCCATGCAACAGACCTCTTTTTTCTTTGTCTCTTTACTTTCGATTGAACTGATTGAGATTGTGATGTCGCATTTGAATTAGAAGCTCCACTTTCACCAATCACCTTATCAATCATGATATATTCAACCATGTTTTTGTGTCACTGTGAGTTTGATTTAAAAGAAATCAAGCAGCGAGACAACAAAATCTTAAAATGAAACTCATATAACTACAGATTTAGCTTAAAATCTTAAAATGAAACACATATAACTATACATAAAAAAGGAAAATATGATAACAGAAAATATTTATGTGGAAGCTATGAACTTTGGTCATTGGCATAGGAATAATTGGACCCTAATGGTGAATCCAGAAACCAAATAGTTATCCCTTTCGAATAGGATTTGTGAGTCTTCAAAATATGTCTTCAAGAAACCAAATAATCAGTGTAGTATAAATTAAAAACTAGCTCAAACAGAAAAAGGAAACCAAACAATCAGTGTAGTATAAATTCAAGGAACCAAACATTTTAGGGAAACCATTTTTCGAGCTTCATAAAAAGGAAAATATGCAAAAATTGATTTCTAAGATACGAAACTAAGACGAATTCAGAAATGGGATATGAAACACTGACCTTAGTGCAATGCTCTGCCGGAAAAAGATATAGAAAACCGAGTCTTGACGGGCTCAGTCGTGGGGGCGTGATCGCGTGAGTCGTGAGGCGGAGAACTGGTGAGGGCTTGACTGCTTGAGCCGTGTGGCCGGTGGCGGACTGGCGGAGAACTGGTGAGGTCTGACTTCTGAGGGTGAGGATTGAGGGTGAGAACTGAGTGAGTGAGGCGGACAGCGGACTGGCGTCTGGCGACTGGCGGAGAAAGCAAAATTAGTATATGAAATTGAAACCCTAGTATTACTAGTATATACTTAAGGGTAAACTAGTAAAT